AACATTCAGATAGTGTTTTCACAACTTAACGGAAACGTTAGAAGAGCAGAGCTTTGCTAGTCAACAAGCAGATAATAGTGTCATTATTCAGACCAAAGCCAAACGATAATATTACTGAACAATAAAATGTGTTTCGGACCCCATGTCACGGACACATGAAAATAGCCTTAACCAATTTACACATGAATTATACCGTGAACAGTAAACTACATCTGAACTCAAAATAATGACAGATATTCATCAATAATTACTTATTCATGGATAAAGTTGAGTGATTAATTTTACAAACTTTTTTTTCCGCTCACTGATTTCTACACTGCATGATTTTCATATTCAGTGTTTCTGTCTTGTTCTCCAGTTCAAACATCTGAACATCTTTAAATCAAGACACATTTACTGGAGAAGCAGAATGACAAGATATTGAGATTAAAATGAAGCGAGTTCTCGCTTTAAACAAGAACAAAATCTGCCAATGGAGTCAGAAAAATAAAGGTTATTTCATCTAAAGGTTATTTTTCTGATTCCATTTGCAGAAATGTGTTCTTGTTTAAGCATAAAGTCACATCATTTTGATAGATTTTTCATTTTCTTTCTCCAGTAAATGCTTCTTGATTAAAAAGAGTTTAGATGTTTGTACTGGAGAACAAGACAGAAATGCTGAGTTGTTAACGCATTTTTGCAGTGCATATAGATTATAGATCGGTGTGTGTCTCAGACCGATCGCTCACATCTCATGTGTTGTCTGGAATTGAGAGAATGTCGTTCATGAGTCTGGAACTGTTAGTTCTGATATCTCTGAGTGCAGAAGATCAGTGTGCTGCTTTATTAAAGTGCTGCTCGTTTATGAACGCAGGCGGTCATCTGACACACTGTGCACTGGGACCCTTCAGTGGCCTTCGTCTTCCTCATCTTCCTCATCCTCAGTGTCCGGGACTCACACCTGCCGGAGAGATGCCACGCCTTACTCCGAGTGCAATATTCCTCAGCAGCCGGACTCCTCCAGCTCAACTCTGTTCTAATGCACTGATTTACTGCTGCATCGAGCTGTGATGTCGTGGTCTGATGAACCATGCTCTGGTGATTCTGGAGGTCCAGCACTGTTTGATGGTGAATGTCTTCATTGTGTTTCATTACTGTAACCTTTATTGTTTACAAAAGCGAAGCCTGCAGATTCATTGTAATCAATATTCCTCAGCAGCCGGACTCCTCCAGCTCAACTCTGTTCTAATGCACTGATTTACTGCTGCATCGAGCTGTGATGTCGTGGTCTGATGAACCATGCTCTGGTGATTCTGGAGGTCCAGCACTGTTTGATGGTGAATGTCTTCATTGTGTTTCATTACTGTAACCTTTATTGTTTACAAAAGCGAAGCCTGCAGATTCATTGTAATGAAACGCCTCCGGAGCCTCCGTGTGTGTGTGTGTGTGTGTGTGTGCGTGTGTGTGAGAGTGTGTATGAGTGTGTGCGTGTGTGTGTGTGTGTGTGAGTGTGTGTGTGTGTGTGTGTGTGTGTGTGTGTGTGTGAGTGAGTGTGTGCGTGTGTGTGTGTGTGAGTGAGTGTGTGCGTGTGTGTGTGTGTGAGTGAGTGTGTGCGTGTGTGTGTGTGTGAGTGAGTGTGTGCGTGTGTGTGTGTGTGAGTGAGTGTGTGCGTGTGTGTGTGTGTGAGTGAGTGTGTGCGTGTGTGTGTGTGTGAGTGAGTGTGTGCGTGTGTGTGTGTGTGAGTGAGTGTGTGCGTGTGTGTGTGTGTGAGTGAGTGTGTGCGTGTGTGTGAGAGTGAGAGTGTGTAGGATGCTGTTCTTCCCTGT